CACACACACACACACACCAGAAAAACAAAACAAGAAGAAAGCACACGAAACTAAATTAATCCAGGAGCATCTGAAGTCGTACAAAAATAAAAATAAAATAAAAAACAGCTGCCACACCCCGCAGACACCACAAGTCCATCTGGTCTACCCCTATTGATGTCCGCCTAGGCGTAATCAATTATGTATGCGTGTGAGAGAGAGATGCATGCGTACATCGAATGAGTCAAGGAAAGAGTGAATGAATCATTCGTCCAGCCAGAGGAGGGAATGGGTAGAGGGGGAGGTGGAACAGCGTAAGAGAGTCCGTGCGTGCGCATGTGCAATAGATAGATAGATAGAGCGAGTGGGTGAGTGAACTGAACAACCATCTTGGTGTGGAGAGGGAGTATAAATGGACGAAAAAAACACGAGTAAGTTTGATTTAAAATACAGTAATGAAGATATAAAACTTTTTTGTCTTCTTCTGACAGTTGAGCATTCAGATTTGTTTTTGATGTTTATTTTTTTTTTGTCTTTTTTTTTTGTTTTGGTTGCCTTTCCTTATTATATATTTTCGCTTGCGTGCTCAGTGTACCAGGTTCGTTGCCGTGAACATCAACAACAACAGTAATAAAAAAAAACAACCAAAAAAACAAACAAACAAACGCCGTGAGGGGAAACACAGCGACGGCCGGCTCTACCGGAAGGAGCTCCAGCAGGCCAGCCTCTATGGCTCCCAGACACACACACACACGCACACATCGCCCTATACCTCTCTCTTTCTCTTTTACTTGCACGCAAACTCATATATATATATACGCAGACGTATCCTTCGTATTTCTTTCGCGTTTTTTTGTTTTTCACCTTTGTCCTTGCAGGAATGCGTCACTTTCATTTATATATATTTTGTCCTCCTCTGTTTTAACGGTTCTTCTCAATTTCTCTTGTTTCGTAGATAGATAGATGGATAGATAAATATATTCCCCTCACTTTTTTTTTTTTTCCTCTGCCTTGGTTCCTGGGGCGAATTCGAGCTTTTCTTCGTTATTTTAATCCCCGCTCACCCGGGAGACGAAGCAGACACACGCACACGGAGGGACACACACAGACGCGGCCCACACACACCGCCGAACGGCACTGCCGCATGGCGTACACAACAAAAAAAACAACAAAAAAAAAACAAAAAAAAACAACAACATAGGGACACACAATTGATCCTGACGCACTGAACTGCACACAGTGGGGTAGCAAAGGGTAGGAACCACTTTTGCTGCCACCGCTGCAGCTGTTGTCGCTGCTTTTTTTTCGTATATATATATATATATATATATATGTGTGTGTGTGTGTTTAAATCGTCGTTGTTGTTGTCGCATTTCGTGACGTCATGGCCTCAAAGATGGAGGCTCTGTTCATTAGGGATGGGAGGGCGAGGGGTGGCGTGGGTACAACGCACAAGCTTATTAACCCCCTTCTACAACTCTGTACCATCCGTTCCCATCCGCTTAACAAGCCAAGCTAGCGCCTGTGTGAATGTGTGTCTGCCCCAATGCACGTCACTAGCCCTCACAGCGTGCCACGTCCCGGCGGAGAACTTCACCCACGACGAGGAGGAGCGCCGAGTGCAGCGCCGATGCCTGCGCCTCCACCGACGCACACGGCTGACGGTTCTCCTTGCTGCATCGCACCGTCGTCGAGCCCGCACCCTGCGGAGCGTTGCTGCTGCTGCCTGCGGGAGACATGGTGGTGACGTCAAGAATCGTGCTACCAGACGCGGCGCAGTCGACGACAGCACAGATGGGTGTGTCGCCGCCGTACCGCGCAATCGCCTCCCTCACGACGCGCACCATCGCCATGCATTTTTCACGCGATGGCGAGTCGTACGCGGTGCCGAGTGGAGACGCCACCACATCTTTCGGGAACTCGTGCGGCACGGCGACTGCGGAAACCGGGCTGCCCCTGACGCTGCTGCTGTTGCCTGCGCTGATAGGCGAGCCGACCTCACTATCGACTAGAATGATGTACGCGTCGGTGCCGATTGTGTGCTGCTGCAGCAGCGCCTTGTCGAAACCATGGCGATGCGTCACACCCACGAGTTGCGTGCGCACCGCCACGTCAGCAGCAACGTTGCTCGCATCGGTGCTGGGGGGCGCGACAGGCAACCGTAGCACAACCTTCCTGCGTTGTCGCCTCGATGCACGCGCTGACGCAGCTCGCCCGATGCGCTGCCGCTCCCTCGGCGTCGCCTCCGCGCCATTCTCCCACACCGATGGACCAATGGTGTTCTTCTCACTACCTGAGAGGTCAGAGGCGGAGCTGAGCGACGGGCCGAGGGACGGTGTTGTGTCCTTGCTGCTCGGGTTGTTGCCGGCCGCCGCCTGTTGGTTGGTGCGGCACGTCAGCTTCTCGAACGCATCGAAGGTGGCTGCGAGGTCCGCGCGTTCGCCGCTCTCCACCGTGTTGTGGCCCTGGAGTGATATCACACAAATCTTTCTTTCGCGACCACTCGTCGTCGGTGTGCACACATCAGGGACGCGGTTTTTACTGCATGAGTTCACACCCTGTATGGGGCAGCTGCTGGTCCCCACCTGCCGCGCAGCGCCGAGGCCGTGCGAATACCCAAGCGACGTGTCGCTCCCCGACACGGAGCACGCCTCCACAGTCTCATAGCAGTGCGTGCAGACACGCAACTTCACTGCCGGCTCCACCGCATTTGTGCTGCTGCTGCTGGTGCTGCTGAAGCTGAAGCTGTGTGACATCTGGTGCAGTCTATGGGGTGTGTCAGTGTGTAAAGGCGACAGCGGCGTTGTTTGTGCGGCCTTCACGTTGGCGTCCCACCACCGCAGTAGCAAGTCGCCGGGGAGGAACAGGTTGGAGCAGCCGTAGCAGAATAACCCTCCGCACAGCCGGCAGTGGTGCCGGCGGCGAAACAAGTCAAACGCTTTGGCGCAATTATCGCATTGCTGGGAAGCGCTGTCGGGCTTCCACTGGGCTAGCTGCATGCAGCGCAGATAATTCTTCTCCGGGCGTGGGTGTATTGTTCCAAGGACTTTTCGCTCGGTACCACGCTACACTTCTTGTTTAAGCGTGGACGTACTCTAAATAACACCGCTAAAAACGGGACGGTTAAGCTCAAGCCTATTCACTACCGACACACTTGTTAATTCCCCTCCTCCCAACGGGGAAGAGTATATATATATA